CTTAATGTTGAGTTTCAAGCCAACTTTTGTGCTCTCCTCCTTCACCCACATCAAGAGGCTCTTTAGTTCCTCTTCACTTTCTGCCATGAGAGTGGTATCATCTGCATATCTGAGGTTGCTGATATTTCTCCCAGCAGTCTTAATTCCAAATGGTGATTCATCTAGCCCCGCCTTTCTCATGGTGTGCTCTGCATATAAGTTAAATAGGCAGGGCGACAGTATACAGCCTTGCCAAACTCCTTTCTCAATTTTGAACCAATCAGTGGTTCCATGTCCAGTCCTCACTGTTGCTTCTTGACCCTCATATAGGTTTCTGAAGAGACAAATACGTTGGTCTGGTACTCCCATCTCTTTAAGAACTTGCCACAATTTGTTGTGATCCACACAATCAAGGGCTTTGGCATAGTCAGTGAAGCAGAAGTAGATGTTTTTCTGGAACTCCCTAGCTTTGTCCATGATCCAGCGTATGTTGGCAATTTGATCTCTAGTTCCTCTGCCTCTTTGAAATCCTGCCTGTACTTCTGGTAGTTCTCGGTCCACATACTGCTGGAGCCTAGCTTGTAGGATTTTGAGCATAACTTTGCTAGCATGTGAAATGAGTGCAATGGTGCGGTAGTTTGAACATTCTTTGGCATTGCCCTTCTTTGGGATTGAAATGTAAACTGACCTTTTCCAATCCTGTGGCCACTGTTGTGTTTTCCAAATTTGCTGGCATATTGAGTGTAGCACTTTTACTGTATCGTCTTTTAAGATTTTGAATAGCTCAGCTGAAATACTGTTGCCTCCACTGGATTTGTTGTTGCTCAGACTTCCTAAGGCCCATTTCACTTCACATTCCAGGATGTCTGGCTCGAGGTCAGCGACCACCCCATTGTGGTTATCAGGGATGTTATGCTCTTTTTAATACAGTTCCTCTAATGAACTCATTAGGCCACCTAATGAGAAGGAAGGACTCCCTGAAGAAGAGCCTAATGCTGGAACAATAGATGGCAAAAGAAGAAGGGGATGGCAGAGGATGAGGTGGCTGGATGGGGTCTCTGGGGCAGTGGGTGTGGGCTTAAGTGGACTCCAGGGGATGGTGGAGGACAGGAAGGCCTGGAGGAATGTTGTCCATGGGGTTGCAATGGATCGGACACAACTTCGCGACTAACAACTACAACAACAGGAAACTAGAGAAGGGGGTTCCTCACAGGCAGGATAAGGAAAATTCATTCATTCATTCATTCATTCATTCATTCATTCATTCAATTATTGCCTTTATATACCGTCCCATTAGGGGCATTTCAAGATGGTTTATTTGATTTCCATATTTGTTATCCTCCTTATTTTTCATTTTGTTTGTGTAATACAAACTTGGTTGGCTCAGTCCAGCTGCATTCAGGTAATGGATATCTTCATAGCTGGGTCAGTCTACAAATGCGTCCTTGGAAATTTTGAAAACCGCAAACATGTTCTGAAGATGGTGACGTTCCTTTTTTGCAAGAGCACCCTTGAGATCCCTTTTATATTTTCAGCCCTTGAATTATTGCAAATATAAAAGTACATGTCATCCACCTGAAAGGAATACTGCAACTGTGAAAATCAAGTATTTTTCTCCATGTTCTAGGATGATATTCAGATCCCCTAGGAGACATTTGATTGAGTTCAGTCAATGTATTTGTAGGAGAAAAATGTTTTCCAGTATCAGAGAGCCTCCACTGGCCTGTGAAATAACTTGTTCTTTACCAAAGAGTGGTGGCTTGCTCATGTGATTATACTAATCCCTTGCAATAGAAATTGCTGTGGAATGTGGGTAAATGAGTCTAACTTGACTAGATGTATGTTCCAAATTAGATAAATCATGTAAGTTATATTTTTCATATGAATAAATATACTTTAATTTTATGTTAAATATATTTAGTAAATACACCAGGAAGGCACTGTCTGGCAGCATACAGAATGTGTGGCTAAAATATTCTTATGAAAAACTATTTGATGAATTATTTGGAGGATTATATGAAAGAAATATGATAGGTGCCTTTTGAAAAATGCATGTTGAAAATCATCCATTATCTTTATACTGAATTGCTTAAGCTGCCGACAAAAGAAGTCCAAGACTGAGCATTTTCATCCCTTTATTTGTAAGCGATTAGTGACAAAAAGAATGACAGTAAATGCAGATAACAGTTTTAAATATAATGGCATCAAATCGAGGAGAAACAGTAACTGTGGTAGGTTTTGATGTTACCTGCGGCACAATGTTTTGCACGTTTCAAAATGCTGGCTGGGGAATGCTGGGAGATGTCACACTTTTTTCTGTCCACACATGCACAGCACTGCACTGTGTCCTAAAGTGATCCTTGATCTGCAGTCTTGGCAACGTTGTTTTCAAAATGCTTCTGTGTGATGTACTCTCTGTTCATCAGTAAGCGCAAAGCCCATTTATAAATGTGTAAAGCCTTATTTTTCTTTTTGTTAGGTAGATACAGATAAGGCTGGTGATACGCGGATTATAGAGCTTGATGAATCTTACAAGAGTGAGCATACTGTTTTCATAACTCCCCCAGAGATCCCTCACTTACCAAATGGAGAAGAGCTCCCGTCACAGTACAGGTAACCTTTGGAATATTGCAGGAACCCTAGCAAGATAGTGAGCCTGAACCTGTTAGGTGCAAAATACCTTCATGGAATCAGAACAGTGGAGTTGGAAAGGGCCAATTAAGCCATCGCATCCAACCCCCTGCTCAGTATGGGAAGGTGCTCAACCTCCCTAGGCCATTAGCGCCATTGTATAGAAATGTAATAAATCAATAAATCAATCAGTAAATAAGATTAGTTCCCCCACCTCACTTGATGTAATCGACCTTCCTGCCCACACATTATGTATGCCTTTAGAAATCCTTTCATTAAATATAACTATTTGCAAGTAATGGAGATGTTTTGTATGCTTCAGTAAGAACTAAACAGGTTTCTTGTTTTACGCTAGGCCTTCACCTTCTTATAGCAATTACATGTACCAGGCAAAATTATCTCAATTGTTTTTGTCCCTTGCTGAATGTCCATTTTTAATCCCACAATCCAATTTTCTCTCCCAAATGAATTTGCAAGCTGATATTGATTTTCATGAGCTTTTCCCCCCTGCTTTGTTCATTAAAAACCAAATAAGCTTCACTGAAGTTTCTTGCATAAATGCAGTCAATACTAATGAAGTTGTCAATCTAACCCAATAGCATACTAAAAAACCAAACCAAAAAACTCAGTTAAATACTGAGTCTTAAGGATATGTACAGACTGAGAAGAGGGGGACACCACTTCAGCCTCTGCCCCTTCCTCAGTAAACCTGCCATTTTGTCCTGTTCCTTCAGATGCCAAGTACATTGCCCCATGGTAGAGCACTTACTTTGCATACAGAAGGTGCAAGTTTCCATCGCTGGCCAAAAGGATCAGATAACAGGAAGTGTCTCTTTTTGCCTGAGGCCCTGGAAAAGCTGCTGGTGGTCTGATGAGGCAGTGCTGGACTGGATGAGACAATGGCCTGTCCCAGTATAAGGCCGCTTCTTACACCTGCTGGCCCTGGGGCGACGAGTAGATTGCCGGGCATCGTGTCCCTGGAAGACAGTGAGGCCCACAGCCCCACAGTTGCTGACACACTTCACAGATGTCAGTCAATAAGTCTTAGAAAGTTTTTGCCCCCGCCATATGGTCTGTCTGAAATAGCAAACCCTGTACACCAGGTTCTGCTATGCAATAGAATCCACTTCCATCTGCTGGGAAATATCAGTTGGAGTCAGAAGAATACATGAGTGCTGTAATGGCCCTGGGCACTCATGCCAATGTGGTCCATAAGTAAGTAGAATAAAGTGATGCCTTTTTGCTTTTTCAGCTACAGTGGATTTCCTGTGTTGAGGCAAGATTTGTTTGAGCAGCCTGAAGGACTTCTGACAATACAGAACAGCAAATTGTTTTCAAAAGTCAGCAGTCCAAACAGCCCATTGCCAATGTTCAGGAGAACAAAGCAGGTATTTAATAAGCCTACCACACCTTTGATCATTCATACTGTCATACTTCCCAAACCCACTGTGTCTCCTAAGGTTTTGTAAAGAGCATGTCTTGGAGAGTTGTGGGGTTTTTTCTCTCCCAGCCCAGCAAATCACATTTGTGGCAAGGTTTGACTAAATACAATTGAGTTAAAGAAGGTCACATCCTTTGGGACTTTGGAATGGATTGCCTGATAAACAGTGACCTTCAAACGCCCTGTAGCTAACTGCTTTGTAAGTTCAATAAAATAAAATACAATAAAATAAAATAAAATAATGTAGATATTTGGATCTTGATTGCAATGAAAAGTTGAAGAAAGCCTCTGGACAACCCTAATTTAATGGCATACATGTAACGTATGGTGGGCATGTCACGAGCGGAGCCGGCTGGTGCCGGAGGTCAGACTAGATGTCCTGGGAGGTCCCTTCTGACTTGCTCTGTTTCTGTGTTTCTATTTACTTTGGGATGTGGTCTCTAAGTAACGTTGTTTTGTAAAGGCAAAAACCATATATTTCTTCATAGCCCTGTTTGTTAACTGACTTGCTCCCCATTGACCTTCTGAACAAAGTTTTTGTATTTTCTTTTGCTCTTCACCCAGTCCTGCTTGGGGGGTTTTTTGGGGGGGTTGTTTTTCGTGCCCCATGTAGTGGCTATGATTTCTGTTTCTGTATTCCTTATTCACCGGCAGTGAACAAGGATGACCCAAAGGGCTCTGGGTACTGGGCATCCTGAGGTCATAACCAGCTGGTACTCTTTTTCCTACCTCATTTGTGAGCCTTCTTCTTAATGACTATTTAGTAAGGTTTTTTTTTTTTTAAATGCCTAGAATGGGTTCCTGCAAAATAAATAATACTTGATCAAGTACAGCACAATGGATAAAGACCCAAAGAATTGTGCAGGTTACTCCAAGTGCTTAAGAAGGTTTTGGCCACACAGAAGGTTTTCTGCTTGTATTTCTTCTGCAGCTGGGTCTCCTTTTTGAAACAGAAGAGACTTTCAAAAGCAGGCTGTAGTATGGCATGAGGGTCTGCCATTCTGAAGAGGGGAACATTTCGGATCCCAGTGGACATTCCAGAATTCTTAGCGTCCCCTTAAAACAGTTCTGCCCAGCATCCTGTTTCATTCAGAGGCTGAACAGATGCTCTCAGGAAGCCCCCAAGCAACAGTCTTCTTCCGGTGTCACTCCCCAATAGCTGGCACTTGGAAACATACCCCCTTGGAACCTGGAGCCTGTAATCAAGTATCATGATTTGTCCTCTTTAATAAATTTGCCCTCTGCTATAATACTGTGATACTCTTTAAAGGCGACTAAGCCAGCGGCCCAAGTTATTCATCCCAACTCATCTAAATGAGTACAAGGGGAACTAATTTATAAGAAGTTTCTTCCTTTGTTGGGTAGTAATGCTTCCAGACAACTGAGAAGAGGGCGGGCATCTAATTTGGACAGTTAAACCACTAAGCCTCACTTTGTTTTGTGTTCTTGTGTGCAAAATTTGGCATCTAGAACTACAGATCTAAGTTCACACCATGTTTTAATTAATGACAACACTTTTGCGCACCTGCTGCTTATACATGAGCAAGCAATTCTTCATCATTTTCCACAGAACTGCTTTCAGTCAATATCCAGATAACGGCCACACCTTCACTTTTATCTATCTGTCTTGCAATTTCAGCAGTCCTTTAAGTAACGTATTTCCTTCTCTAATGGACTTCATATTCTGTTGACTTTCGGATGAGTATTTATGTTCTGATTGGTGGCACTGGCATTCTGTTACCCTGGAATGATTTTACCAGATAATTGTTTGCATTGCACACTGCCATTTTAAAATGCTCTTATGTTTAGTGCTGTTAGTCATCCTTGTGTCTTCCCAGTTATGAACTAGGAACATCAGTCTTTTAATATACTTCAGAAGTTATATAATAGCATAATGTATGTGGATGTCAGATCCAACTGTCCAAGCATATCCAGTCTAAATTAGGCAGGCAAGAGGCTGTTCACCCATGGATAAGAAGGCTGAAGGGAACAGAGCACAACAAACCCTCAGTAGGCAGATAATTAATCAATAGATTAGTGAGTAAGCAAGCAGGTATAGGCCAGTATCAGCTTTTTCTTCACAGTGAATTAGGTAAATTACTGAGGAGCCAGGCTAGAGTGTAAGTGGTAAACTAGTGAATGGATCTTTTGATATTGTTTCAAAATTTAAAAATAGCCACCAGGAACTGCTAAATTGACTGGAATATTGATGTATGAAGTATGCGAAGTTTAATGTATTTTCTTCTATGCTGTTTCCCCTATCAAAGGAATAATCTTGAAGTGTAAGGGAGGAATTAAAGCCCCTCTCTCACCACTGTAGCCCTGATTCAGGCTTCCTTCTCCTCCCCACTTTCCTAGCAGGTGCATTTAAACATTAAAGAAAAATGGAGAGATCTGATTGTGTGCCGCATTTGGTCTGATTTCGGTCCAGATCTTTAAAGGGCCACGCCAGTCTCCTCTGGCTGCAGGTATGGCTTAACACCTACTGGGTCAGCCACTGCAATACTACTCTCTCTAATTAAACTCTTGGCGACCCACTGCAATGGACAATAAGCTCTTGTTCTCAGACCTATTAGACAAACAATGAATGTGTGGGGCGGGGAACATCTGGGCCAGTCCTTTGCTTCCTTTTATGAACCCACTGATTCCATAGAGGACACAGCCCTCCACTTCAAAGACAGAACATGCTCAGCGCGTATTACTTTTAATGTGTTTTTGCAGGAAATCAAGTCAGCCCATAAAATAGCCAAGAGGTACTCCTCCATTCCCCAGATGTGGTCCAGATGCTTGCTACGCCACTGCTATGGCCTGTGGTTCATCTGCCTTCCTGCCTACGTCAAAGTGTGTCATTCCAAAGTGCGGGCTTTGAGAACAGCCTATGACGTCCTCCGAAAAATGCACGCAAAAAAGATCGAGCCACCCGATGAGGTAAATAAGATCCCTCCTGAATTGGATGTCTTACGTAAGTTCCTTAAGAGTAAAGCACTAACAAAGATAGTCTTTCAGCTAGGTGGCACTGTTACAAGGTTGATCCATAGCTGGCTAAAGAACTGCACTCAAAGAGTCCTTCTCAGGAGTCCCTCGTCAAACTGATAGGGAACTGTCAGGGGCTTTTTGTTAATAAGGTGAAGGAAGGGCTGGAGGGAATTCTTATAAAATTTGCATGTGATAGAAAAATTCATAGGAGTTTCAAACAAAATTTCTCAGAAGGCAGGGACAAAATTCAAAATGAACTGGATAGGTTAGAAAACTGGGCAGAAAAGAGTGGAATGAAATTTAACAGGGACAAGGAGAAAGTTCTTCATTTGGAAAAAAGAAATCAGATGGCTTGGCAGCATTGCCTGTGAAGGGATCCTGCCAGTGTAACTCATCACAAGATTGAGTATGGGTCAGCATTGTGATGTGGCTGCAAAAAGGCAGGTACAGTTTTTGGCCTTTTAGAAGTGCAGTTTCAGAATTATTGGCAGTATTAGTTCCAGTCTAATCTGTACTATCCAGACCTCACCTCAAATGCTGTGAACTTTTCAACCCCACACATTAAAAGATTCAGGTAAACGGGAGCAAGTTCAGAGAAGGGCAATGAAGATGATCAGAGAATTAGAAAACTGAAGGACAGGGAGTGCTTTGCCTTGAGGGAAAAAAGAGAGAGAGAAGACACGATAGCATTTTTCAGGTATCTAGAATTGTTACACAAAGAAGACTGCAGCCTGATTTCTATCCAGGACTACAGGGTCTGGAAGAATAGGCTTAAATTAATTACAAGTAGGCAGATTTCAGTTGAACATTTGAAAAACATCCTAACCATCAGAGCAGCCAAACAGTAGGACAAACCGCCCTGGGAGCTGGCCGACTCTCCATCACTGGGTGCATTCAAGCAGAGGCTGAGCAACCATCTGTCAGGGGCCCGTTCTGCTGGATTCCTGCAGCAGGCATGGGGTGGAACTCGGCAACCATGGTAGCCTCTCTCCACTCTGTGCTGTTTTTTCCCAGGTGTGCTACCGGGTACTGATGCAGTTATGTGGACAATATGGACAACCTGTGTTAGCTGTGAGAGTCCTTTTCGAAATGAAAAAAGCTGGAGTCGATCCCAATGCCATTACATATGGTTATTATAATAAGGTAAATAAAATGCTTGATGATCAAGATGTTGTAATTTATTTGAAAGCCTTTCCTTCCAGTACCAGAAAAATTGTAACATCTTAAAAGAGGTTTATTGTTGAATTAGATTCCCATTCTAATTAGACCAGTGTTTGATTTCAGCAATCTAAAGCACACATATTTTTACATAAATACGAATGCAGATGCAAGTGGCATAGCTGTCAGTTCAAGGCCACATGGAAGGTCAGAATTAATGTGACGAAGGAGACCTAAAATGTGGTTTCCTGACAGGTTCTAAAATGTTAAAGCAGTTGGAATCAGCTCCAATTTTGATGGGAGCAGTTGCACTTGAGAGAGAGCCCTCCGTCTTTCCCCCCAGTTTGTTCTATCTATCTATCTGTCTGTCTGTCTGCCTGCCTGCCTGCCTGCCTATCTGTCTATCGCATTTGCATACCATCTCATAGCCCATAGGGCTCTCTGGGCAGTGAACAGGTAGAAAACAAGTTTAAAGCATATAATGGTAAAATGGATGATCACAGAACGATAAAACGGACTACTACAGAACTCAGGTATCCTCGTTCTCCCCCCGCCCCCAAAACAGTGACAAAAAGCCCTGGACCTGAACCTGCACTGAATGGGCTTCCATCGGGTGATGTTCTTTAGCAGCACCCTTTGGTAGCCACCCAGGGCACTGGGCCCGTAAGTAGGCCGCGCAAGGTGGAAGGCCCTTGGTGCAGTGTGCCCACTCTCTGCAATGGCAAGGAGGGTCCACGATGGCCTGGCGGGGGGGTGCAGTGAGGAGTGGCATTGACTGTGGCGGCTATTTTCCCTCTCTGAGTTCTTCCCCAGTCCCCATGCTGTTTACACCATTTCTGGTAATGGCAGGGATTTAAGTGTGTAGCATTTACAGAAATTGCAAGTGGGAAATTAAATGGAGCATTATAGTTAAAAACAGTTTTACTACCACAGTTGTTTTTGTTTTTTAATGAGCCTTAAGAAGAATACGAGATGCACCTGGGGAGAACTAGGTTCAAATCCTTACTCAGCCACAAAGTTGTTGAGTGGGATATCCAAAATGATGCTGCCCCGAGGTACTTGAATGTGTGTGACTAAATTTCTGTTCGATGTTGTTCTAGGCTGTTTTGGAAAGCACCTGGCCTTCAAGCAATCGAAGCGGCTATTTTCTCTGGACAAAGATAAGAAATGTCATCTTAGGAATAGCCCAGTTTAAAAGAGTTCTAAGAAAGCAACCTGCAAATGGCATCCATCAAACTCTTTCCGGTATAGCGTTCATATATACCTTTTAGTTTGTAACTGTGGAGATGCTGTTTATTTTAAATAATTATAAACACTACTCAGTGTTTTCTGAATCACCTGACTGTAAGGGCCACCCTCTGCACCTTGTCCCTACTGAGGCACTACGCTGATTCAGGGCGCAAGCCCCGTTTTGTTGGGGTGCGGGGGGAGGAGGATTCTTTGTACTCGTTCGGCAAACAGAGCTTGTGCTCTGACGACCAAAAAGGAAGATGGGCGAGGCCTTCCCAGTCTGCCCTCTGTGCTTCTTCCCCATACTCAGGGCAGGGGTGGTGAATGGACAAGCTCCCACCCTGCCTGCTGAACAGAACTGCTTGCCAGCAGCTGCTCTGCTCCATCCCTGTCTCCCCCTGAAATAAAATCACAAAACAATGAACAGTCCGCCCAGTCCAGCAGTCTGTTCATGCAGCTGCCCAGGGACACCCAAAAGAAAGGCACAAGGCAGCAGCCCCCTCCTGCCCAAGCTCCTTAGCAACTGGCAAACACAGGGACTGCCTCTAGTACTGGAGGTGGCTCACAGTCGTGGATCACTTTCTCCTCCATGAATTGTTAATAAATTCCCCTTTTAAAGCCATCCAAATTGGTGACTATCACTACATCTTTTGGAGTTACATGTTGTCTTCATAGTCTCCACCTCGCTTGTTAGGATGCTTCCAGATGGGGGATTCCTCATGCTGTGAAGCACCCACCTCTGCACTATTTTATAAGCAGGATTGCAAACCCTCTGTATGCAGAGGATCCAGCGCGTCCCGCTGTGTGCTGTCTGCATTGTGGGCATAAGAAAGCCATGCAGGCAAGAGTTCTGCTCTGCCCTTCCCCCACCTCTCACTGATTGCTCTGTACATTTGGTCTTCCCACAATTTGGGTGCTGCTCTGCACTGTATTAATGCTGGGAACAATAGAGGGCAAAGGAAGGAGGGGACGGCAGAGGATGAGGGGGCTGGATGGAGTCACTGAAGCAGTTGGTGTGAGCTTGAGTGGACTCCAGGGGATGGTGGAGGACAGGAAGGCCCGGAGGAGTGTTGTCCGTGGGGTCGCAATGGGTTGGACACGACTTTGCGACTAACAACAACTGCACTATATTAGCTCGCAGTTTTATGTGTCTGTTCTTACAGTTTTTGAAGGGCAGTTCAATTTCCATTTTGTTTTAGATGTATTTAAAAGTAAATAAATAAATACAACAAATGGCAAGATTTTATCTAAGCGATTCTCTGAAAAACATAATTACAAAATAAAGCTACAAGTTCTGTCAATTTTATCTGAAAAGCTCATCTCTTACCTAGTTAATTCAACAATTCTCAATGTGCCTCAAATAGATATATTCTTAAATGTACCTACAAAGAGATTGTATTCTGCTCTTTCCTTCCTTAGTGGATTTTCTGTTTATAAAAAATCATAAGTTGTGGTGATAAAAACAGTAGGATTATATCTGGATGATTATGACACCTGAGAACTTCCATGAAATTATATAAACAAAAAACAGTGAATGTACATTTTTTAAAACTCATCCTTAGTCACTGACTGAACAGTTACTTTTTTGATTGATATTAATTTTGTTTTGTTTAAATAAAAATGTACTGGTAACTTTCCTTAATCTGTTGTTTGATATTCTAATAGGGGAACATTCAGATCTCTTATATAGGCTGTCTAAAGAAGCAATTATGCAAGGAAAAGCAACTGTCCAGAAGGATGGTGAAAAAAAGGAAGAGAAAAAAGAGAGTGACTCCAGTTCTTGTATGTATCAGATATTGATACCTGGCATGTCTGCATTCTGTTCCTTGAATCTAAACTAGGTTTGATTTGATTCCAACATGATGATGGTTTCTTTGTAGAGCATTCCTTTTGAAGCTTGTCTCATGGTTGCACTTCCATGCTATGTTGTGCAAGAGATAAGCAACAGTGTGGGAAGCCTCAGACTGGAGATTGTCTTGTGTGTTTTCTCAGGCTTGGGAGAGTCCCACAATGGCAAGGTTGAGTCCTTATCTAAATACATCAGGTGCTCTTTGTTGTCATGCATCAGCCTGAAGTGCTTCAGTACACAGGAGGCAGAATTCATAGGCCGTTTAGCACATTAGATACAAACACAAGAACAGGAGAAAAGTGTGCTCATTGTTACCTAACGTCTCAACAACATTTACATCCTGTACTATGTCTGGGGCAACCCCACCTTGGACTGAATCCAGGATTACCTCCCCTTTGGTTGGTTCCACGGCCAGCTGCTCAAAGGGATAGTCGTTTAGGACATCAAGGAACTTAACCTTTCTGAGAGGTGGGGCATGCATTTATCTAGTTAATGTCTGGGCAGTTGAAGCCATCCATTATTATAGTAGTATTGAGTTTTTTATTTTATTTGTATGTATAAAATTACTTATATCCCACCTTTCAGTCCAGAAAAAGGCAGGTTACATCCATTAAACATATACAAAAATACATGCATTTATTACCAACTATATTATTATTAGATTGCATTTATATGCTGTCTTTCTTCTTCTTCTGAGGAACCTGAGGCTTCTTACATGGCTTCATTTTATCCTCATAGCAACAACATTGTGAGGTAGGTTGGGCTGAGAGCGCTGGACTGGCCGAAAGCTACTCCAGTCTCCTGGGTCCTCAGTCCAACACTATCACCACCACACTTCTTGTTGTTAGTTGCAAAGTTGTGTCCGACCCATCGCGACCTCATGGACAACACTCCTCCAGGCCTTCCTGTCCTCCACCATCCCCTGGAGTCCACCCAAGCTCACACCAACTGCTTCGCTGACTCCATCCAGCCTCCTCATCCTCTGCCGCCCCCTCCTTCTTTTGCCATCTATTGTTCCCAGCATCAGGGTCTTCTCCAGGCAGTCCTTCCTTCTCATTAGGTGGCCAAAGTATTTGAGTTTCATCTTCAGGATCTGGCCTTCTAAAGAGCAGTCAGGGTTGATCTCCTCTAGGACTGACCGGTTTGATCGCCTTGCAGTCCGAGGGACTCGCAGGAGTCTCCACCAGCAGCACCACGCTGGCTCGCACAATTATATCCCCAGGGACAGCCCAAACTTGTCCTGGCTTTCTGCCTAATATGACTATACCTAGAGTAGCTTGTGCCTTCCCGACCCAATATTTTATCCTACAGTTCCCATCAGTCCTAATTAGCATTAGCCAGTGGTGGAGGATAGTGGGAGTTGTAGGCCACAGGTTTACTCACCCTGCTGTATACATTCACTCCTCCTCCTTCCCCCTTCTCCCCCCCTTCTTCTTTTCAGTTTTGCTTAAGATTTTTACAGCACATCTAAAAATGTAATGTGTGAATGACTCACAGATTGTGTCCCTAAATCCCTCTACCATATGACAAAATAATAGCCACCATTCCAAAGGACTAGTTTACAGGACTAGTTTCAAAATGGGAACAGTTTTACTTTATTATGTCGCTGTTTTGTCAATCCTTTTTTTTATTGGTAGAACGTTTACTGGAGGAAGGTACACAGTGCAGAAATACTTTTTAAGCTCTTACAGTTTGACCGAATGTCTGTCGTTGAGCTTTGGAATGTTGAAAAGATTATTTGTTCACAGGGAACTTACTAGATTATGGGTTTCTCAAATGAGAAATGAAAATGGTTCATGTTTGCCTTAGTCCAAAAGCATCCATTTCATGTGCTTGCATGAAGAAGAACTTGTTATTCAACTGCATAGCTGGCAACAGTACCCAGATCGTTGCGTTGTGTGAGAGTCTAAAGCAATAATTGAGGAGGTGAACAGTACTCCCTCCCTGTTGCCCTCCCGCTCAACTGGGAGCTATCATTTCTCACATCTGCTTGTAGGCAGTATATTTCAGGTGGCTTAAGCTGCCATAGGCCCTTTCCATTGATATGCCACACCAGCAAAGACAGGCTGCTGTGTAGAAATATGTGTTACATGGTCACCAGCTGCTAGTTTAGCGGAAAAGATGTAGACGCTATCTGGTATCACATGGAAGCATCTGTCCTGAGTGTGAGATACCAAACACAATGTCTTCAAGCATGTATTGAGAAAAAACTCAGCTTCTGATGAATTCTTTATCTGTCTTGTGTGTTTACAGTATCCGAGATAGAGAGTGGAAAGGGAAGTGGGGAATGTCTTCCTGCACTGAATTATCAAAATTCCAGTAATGATAAGACTGCTTCAAGGATTGTTCGTATTAGTGATGCAATTGGAAAAATAGCAGATATACCAGGAGATATGAGTACAGGTAAACTGGTTCAGCTGAAGATTCTCTCTCTCTCTCTCTCTCTCTCTCTCTCTCTCTCTCTCTCTCTTTCTTTCTTTCTTTCTTTCTTTCTACTTTTATCTCCCTACCTCCTGTTACAAACTATCCTGAGGGCATGCAACCATTCACCTGACTCAATTTTTCTAAGGGCTGGAAAGATGACCTGTAAGGAAAGGTTGCAAAATAAGAGAATCTTCTTCCCCACCCCACAAAAAAAAAAGCAAAAGTACAACCACTCTGGACATATTAGAAAATTACTTATGTGTGTATAGGGTTTATGGTAACATCTTACCTGCCTTGTTTTGTGATGAAAGTAACTTTACTTCCTTGGATTTTTCTTCAGAAAGCTCTGCGGGATTGCTATTTTCCTGTTTTGAGGATATCAACAAAACAAAAATTACTAAAGTTGAAAACAGAAGCATGCATTTAAATGCAACTGAAATAGAGCACAAACGAATAGGTTGGAGAAACAGGAACCGAAATCTCAGTGGAGATGCTCTGATTGAGCTCATGAAAAATCAAATTAACCATGAAGTGAATCCTGAAGAAATTGTTCAGAAACTAGGAGTGGATGCAAAAATCCTTTCCAAAGTATTTGAGAAGAGAATAAGGCCCAAAACACTCAACATCAGGCAGTCTTTAGGAGCCAGTAAGAGAGGGAACCTAGAGAAAGAATCCAGTGATGAGGAGGTGTCCTATGAGAACAATTTTGTGGACAAAACAGAGTCTCCAGTTATATTTGATTTGGAAGATTTGGATAATGAACCTGCCTCAGTAAAAACCGTGGCGCCATTGCATAAAAAACCAAAGAGGATCCAGCGTGCCATCAGTTTTCCAGTAAAAGCAGTTGAGAAAACTGGGGTTGAAACAGGATTCGATCCACTTTCTCTGCTGGCTGCTGAGACAGAACAACAGAAAGAAGAGGAGGATGAAGATGATGACAAAAGTGCCTCTACCCCATCCGCAAAGCGAGATTTAGCTGAAGAAATAGAGATGTACATGAACAATATGAATAGTCCCTTGACAAGCCGCACACCAAGCATAGATCTACAAAAAGCCTACAATGACAAGAACGCCAATAAAAAGAGTCCAACTTTGGCCCAGCCATGCCGGAGAGCGAGCCTTCCTCCAAACTCGCCCAGGCCAACCAGCCTTACCAAATCCAAGAGCTGTTACGTGAGAAATGAGGAAAAAGTAAGGGACAGGCTTTGGTCGTCCCCAGTGTTCTCCCCAAGCAACCTGTCAAGGCAATCTCAGGACACGGCTGGCACAGGAACGCTCGCTTCCCCAACTTCCTTCAACTTAGACACCCTATTAACACCTACTTTTGATGTTCTCAAAAGCAGCATGTTTTCTGCGGGAAAAGGGGTTGCAGAAAAGGCCAGCAGATGGTACTCAAAATTTGCTACATATGCAGCGTCATCAAAGGTAAATCTCTTAAATGATTACCCTGAAAAAAAGGTTCCTTGGAGGGTCAGAGATTCACCCTGTGTGGCTCATATGCTCGGTTTATTTATTGTACAGGATAAAGCGGGTCTTTTAACTTGGGAAAGATTCCTGCTTGCTTTTTAGGCAGAGAATTGGTGCATCTGAAATGCCAGTTGCTGAGCACAGTCATTGCGAGATTATGGTAAAGGTAACATACCTTGGGAGAACCTGTTTCTGGAATTCCATGCCAGTGAGGCCTTCTTTGCTTCAGTGTCAGGGACACCACTCCATATGTGGGCCATTTGTCCCCGTGAGTGATATTCACCCCGTTTTGGATGGAGTTCCCAGTGAGTGATATTCACCCCAAGGGACAAGGTGTATAGTCTGGGAGTGTTCCTTGGCCCAGAGTGTCTCTCTGGTATCTCAGGTGAATGCTGTGGCAAGCAGCACTTTCCACCAGCTTCGTCTGGTCCATCAACCACATGGATGGGCAGAGCCTAGCGACAGCAATTCACACTCTAGTACCCTCTCAATTGGACTAGTGTAGCCTGCTCTATGTGGGACTACCCTTGAAAACTGACTCGTAGATGTAACCACATGACACTGATCATCTTCACTGGTTACCGATTGAAGCCTAGGTCTGATTTAAGGTGTTAACTTTGGCATATAAAGCCCTCAAATGGGTTTCTTGTTGTTAGTCACAAAGTCGTGTCCTACCCATTTCGACCTCATGGACAACTTTCCTCCAGGCCTTCCTGTCCTCCACCATCCCCCGGAGTCCACCTAAGCTCACGCTGAGCCTACTGCTTCAGTGACTCCATCTAGCCACCACATTCTCTGCTGTCCCCTTCTTCTTCTGCTGTCAGTTGTTCCCAACTGATCTTCAGTATCTGGCCTTCTAAAGAGCAGTCAGGGTTGACCTCCTCTAGGACTGACTGGCTTGATCTCCTTGCAGTCCAAGGGACTCACAGGAGTCTCCGCCAGCACCACAATTCAAAGGCTGCCATTCTTTGTGGTCTGTCACAAAGCTGCCAGGTGGTCCTACCAGATGCTTTCCATTAGACTTCTGGCAATGAACATATCCTTGTTTTCAGGATCCCAGCTCAGACCGAGCAAGCGTTTCCTCGCTTGGGGCCCTCGATTCAGAATCTGCCTCTCTAACAGATGAAGAAATCTGCAATGATTTTGAAAGTAACTCTTCTCCTCAAGAGAACTCCTCCTCTCTGCTAAAAGGAATTGGAATGAGCAGGACAAGTCTTGAGAGTTCAACTTCCAACAATGGCTCTGCAAAGCGCTTCTCTCAGAGTGGTAAAGAGGTTTCCAAGTTTTCTCAAGTTTTCTTTCCTCCTACTCTCACATACTTGCAACAACTGTTCTGAATGATGCTGCTGCACTAGTGAAATAACCAACTAAGGTTATTTGAAAAGCACCATGTGTCATCTGAATGAAAATTCATTATCTGTCATTTTCAGTGGGTGACTCTTCCCATCCATTTCATGGAGGCAGAATTGGCCAGTGTTGAAACCTCACTTTCTTCTCTCCATCCACAGCTTTGATTCAGGTAGCTAGGTGAAGGGATCCTTTCTACCTGCTTTTGCAGGGATCATCCTTTTTAGGAAGTAATTTTTGGCAGGACAATGTGAGGTAGAGAAAGACCAAAACGTAGCCTCCCCCGCTTCCCCACAGTTCCCAGGCTACACAGCCTTTCCAGTACCTGCCATTTTCATAGCAGAGCAAACAGACGTCACTTGCAGTCACTCTGCAGGAGCCAGAGTCATATCTGTTTTAGCCTTAGGAGTTATTCCAATCTGGGGATGACCTTCTTGTCAGTCCCCCCCCCCTTTTTTTTTCTGTTAAGGCTTCCTGAACTTATTTATTTATTTAAAACATTTCTATGCTGCCCCCATCACAACAAAGCCTCGGGGCGGCTCACAGCAACTCACAGTCTTACTAAGTTCCAAGGACTGAGTTTGTTTTTCAGGTGACAGCCCCTAAAGCTGAGGGGCTCCCCCTCCTTGGTGGAGGTTGCAGAGATCCCTGGAGGTCATGTCTCCTCAGAGTGAATGGGGGGAGCTGCCCTGTCAGGAGAGGCTCATTTCCATGACCAGGAAGAATGGTGATTGGTAAGTCTGACGTTCCCTCCTTCGGTAACAAATATCTGTTTGTCTTCTAGGCTCCCTTTCAAAGTTTCCTTTGCCTGACAGATCAGAGCTGGTATCCTCTTGCAGTACAAGCAGCACAAGTGTGTTCCAGAATTATGCCCTGGAGGTACAGTCTTTTCCCTTTTCCAATAGCATACATGTTACCACCGGAGGAAAAAAATGAGCGACAAGGTTGGGTTTATTTGATTTCTCATTTTACTTTCCCAGTGCAGTATGCATCCCTTTAGGACTTTGTGTCAATTCAGGCAGCAGTTTTTGTTTAAACTAAAGTCCTAATAATAATGGAAGCATTTTGGTCTATTACTCCTAAGGTGCCTATCATTACTCTCCCAGATGGGTGGCCATCGATAACATGGATAGGCCACCAAGAGAAGTCAGTGAATCAGTCTGAAATTTATTTGTCAGCTCCATAAATAGATTCATTCATCTGTTAATTTGTTGACGTTATGGCGCAGCGAATCCCCACAGCTGCTCTTCCCTCCACTGAGGCAGCTAATTAATGTTAATGGTGGGGAGGGATGTCCTTGACCGAATCAGCTGCACACTGCAGAACTTTCTGGAAATGTATTGAAGTAAAGAAGGATCGGGCTCAGAGGATTAAAATCTCAAGGGTTTAAAATTCGGCTACTAACATGATGGGGAGGAACTAGGTATACTAAATATGAATTTGGCTGCTAATCTTTATACACCTTGAACTGAATGTCTTTCTGGCTTTGGTAGTGGGCTTGTGTCTCGAAATTGAACTGATGTTTCTAGGCCTGCAAGCTTTAACTGGTTTAATTAGTAGATTAGTCAACCAAAGATTGAATTGGCATGTGGAGGGTGGGGCAGTTTTTCAAGGAAGCTGAAAGTTAAGAGCACACATAGAAGCAGAGTGAGTCAGAAGGGGTCTTCTGGCCCTCTAGTCTGATCCCCGACTCCTGCTGGCTCCACTCACGACATGCCCACCATGTTTATTTGTAGAGGAACTTCTGGTTCTGGTGTATGGCTTATCTTATGTGTCTTAGTGCTGTTCTCACTACTGAGAGCTTCTTCAAGGGACTAAGCACTATGTACTTTTTACAGGTCCTCATCTCAAGTTGTTCACAATGTCGAACTTGTGACTGTCTGGTGCATGATGAAGAGATCATGGCAGGCTGGACTGCAGATGCTTCCAACCTTAACACCACATGCCCTTTCTGTGGGAATCTATTCTTGCCTTCCTTGAACATCGAAATCCGAGATCTCCGGGGCCCTGGAAGGTAACTGACTGATCAGTTTCTTTTCTTCAGCATTCCCAGATGCTTGCCTGCAGCATTTAAAAATGTCTTCTAATCACATGAACACTTTTTGTAGGTATTTTTTGAAGTCCAGTCTATCTTCAGAGAACATGCAGCTTCCATCATCATTTTCAAACCATTCAGGAAAATCTTGCACCTGTGATCGTACTTCAGGATTCACTGCACCTATAACAGCTCCTCAAGATGAAAGGTAAATGCAACACATTTTGTTCTGTGATTGCAGGCATTTGCTTATATATTTTAAAGAGACTGCTCACTCCATCCTGAAATCTCAGTGGGGTAACAGGATGCTGAATTAAATGGCCTTTGACTTGACCCAGCAAGACAAACCTTGTATAACATTTAAGGTGATTTACAGTAAGAGACATAAATCATCAACAAAAGCTGCAAACATAATCCAAAACACTGAGTACAAAACCAGAATACAACCAATATGAATACCATTAACATGATGATAATGCAGGAACAGCATGAGGATAATCTCTGTCCATCAGGTGGCAATTTTTAGGGGAGGCAGGCATGGGGGAAAATGGCTTGATATGAGGAGGACATAGATGATCTTCCGATGTGTTCATTGTTAGGCTGAAGGCTCTTTCCCGCGTGGCTAGGCCCTTGCCAGCCATGTGGCACATACGCCAAATAAACACAGAAAATGTACTGCCTCTTTTGTCAGCAGCAAGTCAAAGCAGACCAATCCTACCTGTGCCAGAAGCATTCAGATTCCTTCTGGGAGAAGACAGAATCCTGCCAGGACCGGACACACCAGCCATCCCCTGTCCAGAAGCATCAGCTCGTACAGTTCCCTGGAGGCGGAGGAAATGGAGAACCGCGAGCACAGCCATACGGTTCCCACAGGAAGCTTGCCGGCCACGTTGCAGGGGACAGCTGTGAGTGACTAGCTCCTTCCTCCTGTTTGGCCAAGTTTGCTTTTCAAGACTTCTGCGAAAGGTTGTTGCTTTTGCAGGGCTGATGCAAATATTTTTGTGGAAAACTTTGAAAGGGATGAGGGAAGTGGTGGTGTTAAAAATAATAGCATCTTGGAACATATAGAAACATAGAAACAGAGTGAGTCAGAAGGGGGTCTCCCGGGCAATCTAGTCTGACCCCCAGCCCCAGCTGGCTCCGCTCACAACATGCCCACCATGTGCATGTCCAGCCTATCTTTGAACACCCTCACCGATGGGGCCTCAACCGCCTTCCGTGGAAGCCCATTCCATATCCTCAGGGTCCTGTCAGGAAATGCTTCCTGGCATCTAAATGGAAGCTTGGTTACCTGAGCTTTGCTCTGTTGGAGCACATTCTGCCTTCCTCTGCAGGGGAGAACAGGTCTCTACCCACCTCCATGTGACACCCCCTCACATACCTGTGTGTCGCCACAGATCCCCTCTGAGTCTCCTCCAGGCTGAAGAGGCCCAGTTCCCTCAGTCTCGCCTCATACGGCATCCCCTGCAAACTGGCCACCAGCCTTGTGGCCCTACACTGCACTGACTCCAACCTGGCTATACCCTTTCTGTAATGAGGGGCCCAAAACTGAACACAATACTCCAGTTGTGGGCGCACCAGAGTCATGTAGAGTGGCAGTAATACCTCTCTTGATCTAGAAGCCACACTTCTGGCTATGCAACCAAGGGTGGCGTTCGCCCTCTTGGCCACCGCATCGCACAGCTGACTCATGTTCAGCCTGCAGTCAACCAGCACCCCGAGGTCCCTTTCACAAGTGCTGCTCTCCAGCCACTTGTCCCCTAACCTGAACTTATGACACCTATTCCTACACCCCAAGTGCAAGACCTTGCACTTATGATTCCAGAAGGAAGATTTTTCAGCTCTCATTGAATGATGTCCAGCAAAAGTTAGACAGTTAAAAATCATTACAGCAGAAATTGAAATCGCTCAGAAAATTTGGTACAATCCTTTGTCTGGCACCTAAAGGACATGTGTAGGAGCCCCAGGAAAGATTCCTGGAGAAATCATTTCTCAAGCAGGCTGGCAAAATAACAGGGTGCTTTCCCTTCAGTCATCCTACTCACTGACTTCCACTGATCTAGATCTAGTTGGGTTCAGATCGTGGGTTGCTCTGCAGGTGACCTTCGCCAGGAGAGCAGCAGGGTGTGCATTCCTTCCATTCCTTTGAACCTCTCAGCAGCTTTTTATAGCACCAACCACAATATCCTTCTGGATAGGCTGACAGGACTGGGAGTTGGAGGTGCTGCATTATAGCAGTTCCGTTCCTCCCTGTATGCCCAGTTCTAGGAGGTGGTGCTGGGAGATTGTCCCTCTGAGACTGCTGCGAGGCTCTGCAGGACTCCATTCTGTGCCCCCTGCTGTTACAACACCTCCATGAAGCTGCTGAGAGAGGTTATCAGGAGCTTGGGAGGTGTTTTCCACGTGCAGTTAACACCCAGCTCTGCCTCTCCTTTTTGTCACACCCAGGTGAGGCAGTGGCTGTTCTGAATCTCTGCCTGGGCATAGCAATCAGCCAGGTGAGGGGGACAGCCCAGGAGATACTGTTATTGGGTGACTCGTCTACCCAGATGAGCGATCTGCAAACCTATTCTGGAGGGAGTTTCACTACTCGCAAAGGAACAGGGGCTCTTTGCGCCAGCATCATCACTGGAAGCACAGCTTAGCCTAATAAACAAACTACATCTGTATCAGGACAGAGAAATCATACCTGCAGTTATAATTCTCCCTTTGGAAGATTGGAAAATCCAGTGGGTCCAAAATACATTTGAACTGACTGCTAGTCCATGTCCCAGCCCTATTCAGAGCCCCAAATGGTTTGGAATCAGGTTATCGGAACTACGTATCCCCTTCCATATATAACTCCTCAGGTCCTAAGATTGTACTCAGGTTGTACTCTGGGGACTCCTGCCAAAGAAAGTTGACTGGGTGACTATTAAGAAGAGGACCTTTGCTGCTCTGGCACCTCAGTTGTGGAATGAGCTTCTCAGAGAGGATCACTGCATTGTGTTTTGTGTCTTTTCTGGTGCAAGCTGAAGACTGTATTTGCCGAGGGATTTTAATATTTCAGTTTGTGCATTAAATCTGTCACTGCAGTTTAAATCTTTGCATTGCCACTAGGTTTGACTTTGGTTTGTATTTTTATCTCACACTGCTTTTTAATCTTTAAACATTTGTAGTATATCTGATACTGTATTTTATGGCTTTAATTGTGGCGAGTGTGAAGGCTGTCCTCTCCCTCCTTCCTGGGAGACTCAGCCAATGGCCTTCTAATGTAAAACGTCTTTATGATAATGCAAGCCAGTCAGGCTAGCTTAGAAGTACAGATGCTACTTAATGCAGAAGCCAGTAAAGAAAGAAACAGAATATTAGTTGTTAAAGAAATACAACTCTATTTTAGTTGTTATTTTATTTTAGTTTTTTACAGTCACAGACCAGGAAGAATTAAAAAGATGAAGATAAAATAGCAGTAGTAAGTAAATAAATAATAACTTCCTTTTTCTTTTCTCTTCTTTTTACATTATTTATGATGTGTAAAACAGGATTCTCTGGGACTAGAATGGCGTTTACCCAGTCCAGAGCCCATAACTGTTCCTTATCTGAGTCCTCTTGTTGTGTGGAAGGAGCTCGAAAGTTTATTAGAAAATGAAGGTGATCATGCAATAACAGTGGCAGACTTTGTGGATCACCATCCCATTGTGTTCTGGAATCTAGTGTGGTATTTCCGACGCCTGGACTTACCCAGTAACTTACCAGGATTAATACTATCCTCTGAGCACTGCAATAAGAATTCAAAGGTATGAATTTCACAGACTGTACACAGATTAGTTTCTTTTAGGGGCTTGACTGATGATGGTTGTGGTGATTTAGTTCCTAACCTAACTTGATGCTTTCTTCTTACGGCAATAGTTTGCTTGCCTGTTGCCACAGCTTCTGCTCTGGAATCTAATCAATGTACTCATTAGATTTCTATCCTGCCTTTTTTCTTACAATGAACTCAAAGCAGCTGACCTCCTCCTCCTCCTCCTCTCAATCTTATCCCCATAACAGCAACCCTGTGAGGTAGGCTGGGTTGAGAGTCTGTGACTGGCCCAAAGGCACCCAGTGGGCTCCATTGCTGAGCAGGGTCTAGAACCCATGTCGCTTGAGTCCCAGCCCCATGCCCTTAAGCTCTGCGCCACTCAGAATATGAGGTCCGTTTGACCTCTGGCTGCTTTGGCATTGTGCAGAAACAAGGCTTCTCGTTCTAGAGAGCCTGCTATTCATCCCCTCAAAGTGATGCCAAACACCTTCTAGCAAGAATCAGAAAACCTGCTTAACCCACTCCTTGCAGAATACCTTGAGAATGGGAAAGAGTTGCAGATCTAATCTTGAAGCCAGGCAGGAGACTGCAGCCATGCATCCAGCAATGGGATGAGCAGGCTTTTTATAGTAAACAGGCATGGGGAGGGGGAGGCAATCTGGAAGAGAAACCTGGCGTGGGGATGGAGGGCTTTAACCCTTGCCCCAGTTGCAGTCACAAATGGGACCAGAGACCTCTGCCTGCCGTTGCCACTGGCGCCAGTAGAAGGCCTCTTTCCAGAACGCGGGGAAGGAACTATCTGGATTGGGTCAGCGGCAGTGTGCAAAAGGTTTAAGCTCTCTTGTGCTCACCATGGCCTGAGTTGAGTAGGGCCCCCTGCCCTTTAAAAAGTTCTTTCATGGAACTGATAACTGCACAACTAGCATTTCATCTAGGGAAGGCCTTATAATAAATCCTAACTGATATTTTTAAACGTACTCTTCACTTTCATTTTATTTTATATTACCCTTTCCTTTTCATGGTGTAAAACTAAGGGTAAATTAGAAGTTGAGTGAGTGAGTGAGTGAGTGAATATAAGGGTATTTTCTTGTCTTCAATGTGAGATCTAGGCTGAGTATTTTGTATGAGAAATTCTATCACAAGCTGATTCTGTATTTAAGGTAAGTGCAGGGCTGAAATGTACTTCAGCCCAAAATCTGTTGTGGAGCAGCCACACTACTGGTAATAAGGAATATGGAATTCTGTACCATTAGCATTATTGTAGAAGGAATTCCTGGAAAGGAACGGCCACAGCTAAAAGGAGAGGTTAGAGCAATTGTCGAAGTGGAGACTTCACAAACAAGCAGAAGATGCTGAAGATCAGAATCATTGTCCCCCTTTCTCTCTCTGTATATGCATCAAGTCTCTTTGCTGTTTGATGCCACAATAGTACGATTTCCTGTTCTTGTGTTCACAAACTTGCATTTTGGGTTTTCTTACTCAGATTCCCAGAAATTGCATCTTGGAGGACAGCAAGTATGTTCTGATTCAGATGTTGTGGGATAATATGAAGTTGCATAAAGATCCGGGGCAACCTCTCTATATTCTGTGGAATGCACAGAGTAAGTTATCGGCACTCGGTCTGAAAGCTGTTTGCTCACTGAAAAGAGTTCACCACCACAGCCAGCAGTAGCTTAAACTGGAAAGCAATAGGGTTTTGATCATGGCACTCTCTTTGTCTTGCAGGTCAAAACCATACTCTTGTGTTTGAGAGTGAGTGTTACACGCGGTCCAGCTTAGGCTGGTTTTTTTTTTAATTTGAATTTTAGTTCCCTCTTTTTGGAATGTGTATTTTATGTAGTAGCTTTTGAGCTTACCTCATATTGCCTAATCATAAATTTAATTTCCAGCCTTTGGATTTGTGCCACTGGTGGTCTCATGGAAGACATTTCCGTAAAATCTTGCACTGGTTTCAATACCCATTTTAGAACTCCATGTGCTTGCTCGCTCTTGGTCAGAACGTCGCATTCATGGCTGGCTGTTCCTTGTTGTGCTTTTCTTTTGCACTCCTCTGTCCCAATTTTTTATTTTATGACATGTGCTATATTTTTTTGGAATCAATGTTTCCGATACATTTTTGTCTTTTATTTTAGCTGTAGGGTGGTTTTTTGTTTTTTGGCCACTGTTCGTATTGTTGTGTTTCCTTCAACATTCATTTTCCCCTTTCCACAGCTCAGAGGTACCCAGTGGTTCGCTTGCTGCAGAAGGATGGCCTGTCCTTTAACCAGGAGGTCTTAAGAAGCATGGTGAAGAGCATTAAGATGAATGATGTCTATGGACCCATGAGTCAAATCCTAGAGAGGCTGAACAAATGCCCACAGATTAAAAGGCAAAGGTAAATGATTGACATATAAGAAATCTGCCATCTTCTGCTGTAACAGAAGGAAGATGTTCACCCCCATAAAGAGTAGCAGCTCTTTGATGCTCTGCTCAGGAAAACGGTAACATCTTCCTGTCTTGCTTTGCAGAATGCAACAATGTTTGGCTTAATTAATTGTGCCATTGACATTATATGAATCAATGGAGAAGGTTATCCAGACTTCAGAGGAAGAACTGTGTGAGGTCTTCAGAGACTGTCTCCAGTTCGAGTCCTGCAGTGCCAGAGTTCCTCCTCTAAATGTACAACACAGTGCCATGCTTTCCCTTAGCAGAGGCAGCTCTGCGAGTGTTGCGCATGGGTGTGGATTGGATGGCAACACTTCCAGACCTCATGACGCGTCTTTTAAGCCTGGCAGGACAATCACACCATCGGTTTCTCCTATTAGAGTTAGAAAAGTTCAGGATTATTTATTTATTTTATTTATTAAAACATTTCTATGCCGCCCCATTCGCCGAAGCCTCGGGGCGGCTCACAACATAAAATTAAAATACAAGAAATAACAATATAAAATAAGTCGCCCTGGTCACTAGGTGTTAATATAATGTCTGATATGGCATAAAATAAAACAGTAGTTCAAAAGTAATGCTTTCTGCTTGTGTCTATTTTAGGAGTCTTTATAGAGAGATACTCTTTCTCTCTCTCGTTGCTCTTGGAAGAGATAACATTGATATAGGTAAGTTGTCTGTTTTATTTTGCTAATGGTGCAATTCACTGCCTCAGGAGCTAGAAATATTTGCCTTTTGAAGCCTCTTCCACAACCCTGTTAGGTGAAGTGCAAGAATTTAAACCAAGTCAGTTCTGTTCTCAAAAATTGCTGCTTTCCAGTGATGCATGAGGCTCCAGACAAACAGGCAAGAGTGGGTTTGTTCCTCTGTCCCAGTCTGCTGATGGGCTGCATGGATGATAATTTGACTTGGGAAGCAGCACAAGGAATGGCTTGGTTTCAAACTTGCCCCCCACATCCCCCTGCACCCTCTTTTTTGATCTAATGTGCTCCCTACACCACATTGTTTGCTTGGGGTAAGGAAACCATTATTTCTTCCTATGTGGGTAAATGGCAGCTGGTGGGAAATAGGTTAGTGGCCCCTTGCCACTTTTGTGAGTATACGTAACCTGTTTTTCTGTTGCAACAGATGCTTTCGACAGAGAATACAAAATGGCTTATGATCGCCTTACAGCAAGTCAGGTCAAAAGTACCCACAATTGTGATAGGCCTCCAAGTACAGGAGTCATGGAATGTCGGAAGATTTTTGGGGAGCCATATCTTTAAGAAGAAATACTACCTGAATTGCTGCAGAATTCTAATGTAAAGTACTAAGACATCAGAAGGACGTTTGCCGTTCTCCGTTAAAACAGCATCTTCAACTTGTTTGTTTTAAGCAGAATTTCCTGGGGGGAAATGGTACCAGAATGCCTGATGAGCAGTGGGCCAAAGACGGATCCCTTCACCTTGGTGTGGCATAAATAAGCTGGAATGGTCCCCTGCAGAAAGTTTAGACAAAATCGGACCAAAATCATGCACTGACATGAAATAAGCTTTTCAAAACTGTTTACAGAAAATGTTAAAAATGTTACAGAATGCGTACCAGAGTTGTATAACAGATTTTAAATTATTTATAATAAGTTCGTATTTTTTTAAATTTTTAAATTACTATACTGAACTAAGTAATCTTGTTGCATAAGCAATACTTTTGCCCTTCCTAGAACATTGCTGTTTATAGCAGCTGGCCTTTTACGCAGAAAAGGCCTTTTTCCTTTTTAAAAACTAGTATAGACATGTCACTAGTTTCCTAGGTCACCGTGTGAGTTGTCACTATTTCAGGTTCCAAAAGCGTTTACAGTTCCATGGTAAATTGTAGCTGAGAGGTATTTGCAAACTTGTATGCAATTTTTATAGCAGACATGCACCTGTCACTTTTAAGAAATGTGGACAGGGATTTTTCTGATTCTCTGTCACACATCACTGGACCTGGCAAGGCATTCTGTGTGGAAGGCAGTGCTGACCGCTAGGAGCCACGATTGAAAGAGCTGCATGAGGTGCACCCCTGGACTTGGACATGCCCAGCGGGACTTTAGACCATTATCCCTTGAAATAGGAACCCCCGTACCAAATCACACGCCCCTGTGGTTTGGTCGTGTGTCCCCTTTCACAGGGCATGTGGAATCAGCAGTGTGGTTCTTTGGTTCACAGCCAAAGAATTACCTATATAAACTGGAGGCATAACAGCATAATAGGTGGACTGAAACATTCCAAAATGGAATTTATCATACAGGATAAAAAATTGGAGGGGATGACTAATATTTCTATATACCTAGGAAGATATGCACTCTACTTTCAAATACGATGTATATTAAATTATTTAAGATGAATTTGTGTTTGCTAATATCCAAGTTGCATGGCAACTTTTTACCTTGTGTTGTGCAACTTGGCATTGCTGCTGCTTTTAAACTGCCGTTGCTTATTTATAGCCTCACTGCTTTTTTTTTTAAGTTAGGAGCTGGAGAACAGTATTGTGCTTTCTCTAATTTGCACATCCATTTAGTGTTACTTATTTGCAAAAGCCACTGCCGGCTTGATCACCTAATACTTCCCAGCTTAGTGGCAGGTTCTATCAGGTGAGAGTGTGCTAATAATCAAGGGATTTAACTTATGCCTTAGTAGTGACCCTGACTTTACTTTGAATCCTGGATCCAAAAGGTGTACTCATGGGCTTTTAAGACCTTTTTTTTGAAAGAGAAAGGGTTGGCCAGTGGATCTCCTCGGTGTATTACAAATGACCTTGGAAGATCCCCTGGGTTTTGAACAGCATGTGGGCCTGACTGTGCAATGCGTAAGGGTACGAAGAGGTGTGTGGTGTGCTTAATCAGCCCATCTAATACAGCCTCCCTTGAGCTGGTGTCCTCCAGTCACACAGGACTAGAGCTCCCACTATCCCCAGCCAGCGTGGATGTGGCTGGGGAGTGAGTGATGGGAGCTGCAGTCCAATATATAGGGAAGGGGCCAGGTTGGAGAAGCCTGTGGCAAGGGCGCAAATGCAACGGGAGATTCTCTTGCGTAGGTTTTCCTGCATGCCCGGACTTAGTGGCTTCCCCCATCCACTCACTGAGGCGCGTGCAAGAGAATTTTCTGGTGCATTTAGCGATGTGTTTCCACACAATTGCATTCATTTTGTGTTAACACAGGTGATCTTCCAAACTTCTGTCTCTCTGGATCATGTAATAAAGCTTTAGCTCCTGAACCCATGGATATCGAGTTTGGTGGCTACTCATTGCTGAGTAACTAGGGAGGCAGGGCAGGGGTCTGTCTGTGTAAGGGGCTGACTTCTGTATACAGTCACCTAAATTACATTGTCATGTCTAAGACAAAATTGTGCACAGTGGCTACCACAAATGTAAGTGTCCCTACATAACTGTGCTATATATAGTGCTGTTGTTGTTAGTCACGAAGTCGTATCCGACCCATCGCAACCCCATGGACAACATTCCTCCAGGCCTTCCTGTCCTCCACCATCCCCTGGAATCCACTTAAGCTCACACCAACTGCTTCAGTGACTCTATCCAGCCACCTCATCCTCTGCCGTCCCCTTCTTGTTTTGCCATCTGTTGTTCCCAGCATCAGGCTCTTCTCCAGGGAGTCCTTCCTTCTCATTAGGTGGCCAAAATATTTGAATTTCATCTTCAGTATCTGGCCTTCTAAAGAGCAGTCAGGGTTGATCTCCTCTAGGACTGACCAGTTTGATCGCCTTGTGGTCCAAGGGACTTGCAGGAGTCTCCGCCAGCACCACAATTCAAAGGCCTCAATTCTCTGGCGCTCAGCCTTCCTTATGGTCCAGCTTTCACAGC